AGCATCACTTTTGTTATTTTCAGCTAACAATTTTTGTGGGTTGACTATGATGTGAAGGGTTCAAGGATGCCACGACGGCATGCTGCGGCTCTGGTGTATACAGAGGAACATACAGTTGTGGAGGGAAGAGAGGGATAAAAGAGTATGAATTATGTGAGAATTCTAGTGAAAATTTCTACTTTGACTCCTATCATCCCTCAGAAAAGGCCTTCCAACAATTTGCAGAAGAAATGTGGAGCGGAGGTTCCGATGTCATATCGCCTTACAATATCAAACAATTATTTGAAGCATAGAAGTATATGACTTTAATTAGCATTTTTATCGAGAATAAATGTATTAAATAAACGGAATTGATGTGCACGTCCTCTATTTTTCTTCTTTCCCTTTCACTGGTTTTGTTCTCAAATTTCAACCAATAATAGCTTTAGTTTCCTCTTGAAAATCCTTCTTATATTAGCTCAACACATCATTTATTTCAATGAGTTTACCTAGATTTCCGACATGTTACTGCTCCGAGCCAGAAGTAACGGCAGTGGTTCTCTTTCGAAAGCAGCAGCCAATGAGTCTTGAAAGACAAAGGTCCTTCATTCAGTAAACCTACGGTTAATTTTAGCGACAGGTACCTAGTCAGAAAGGGCAACACGAATTCCAAAATATTTTACGAAATTCACTTAAAATTAATGCTTTGCTATTCGTTTATTTTAAAACATAAGTAAAGAATAAAATATTTTTTCCTTAATTTGTTTGTTTTTTCCTAGTCAAATTTGATAACCCAACCTATAGATTAAACAAGAGTAGTATATAAAAATGTGATTGAAGATTACAAAAATGAATACATATAATAATACACTTACATATTTGCCGGAGAGAAAACCACCTAACCCTTACAGACTGCAAAAGGATAAAATAAAGAATTGTTATCTTTGCGGATTTTGGGGAAAAAGTATAAAATATAAGACTCAATGAACTTAAAGCTCAATAAACATGAAAATCATTTATGAGATATGAAGGATTACGTGATAATTGAATAAACAAAGCATTATTGCGTAAGCCATTAGGAATCACAGCTGCTACGTACCACTAATTTCAGTCGATTAAAATCAATACTTAATACCCCAACTTGATTATTTATATTAAAAAATTAAATTTTGACTTTAAAATTAATTTTTATGCATATTGTTAATAAAAATTAAATTAATGAATCAAAATTAAATTAAAGTTTAAAATTATATTCAAAACAGTTAATAAATTTTAATAAGTATTATATTAATTAAAAATTATTTCATAAATAAAAATAATATATAAAATTAAAATTTAATATTAAAATTTATTGTTTATAATTAAATTTCAAGTGATGAGTATTTTATGATCACCACTCTAGCCAGTGACAGGTTGGATCAAATAATGTAAAGTAGCTAATTATAAAATATTTACTAACGTTGTGAGCCACACGCAATTTAATTTAACAAATGTTATATTGCTTTTCTTTGGTAAGCATAGACAATATAAGAATTTAAATGTTATTTTATAAGCATCAAATTACTTTAGATGGAACAATTAAACCGCCAAAGGATTTGCTGTCACAAAAGATTTTATTTTTTTTAAAAAAAAACATGATCATGGAACAACCAGCATTCAATTCATTTTAATTAGTATATAATTTTCTTTTTTTTCAAATATAAAAAAGAAAAATTTATAAAACCTATCCAAGTATTTAGCTACACGATTAGTGCATAACTGCATATATGCACAAGTTTGTAGAACACACCTTTCAACAAAACCTGCTATCCTAAAGTGATGTGCCAACACCCATCAGTTTTTTATTTTTTTCATTTTATGTGTATAAAATTAAAAATGTAGAGTTTTGACACCCTAAATAAATAAAAAAATTTATTTTGAAAAACTGGCAAGTCGTCTAAGTCAAAGTTTAAAGGCATGTGTTTAAACCCTTTTAGCCGTTCATCATTTTAAAATTGCATATGAAATATGAATTTCTTTTTATTTAATAAAAATTGTTCATTCTTTTGAAAATTAGATATTAAATATGAACTAGAGCATTTTGAACTATTTTTCTTTTCCTTTTTATTCTTTTTTTTCTGATAGAAACCCTTCATTTTTGTCAAACCTTTCATCTTCCTTTTCTTTTCTTTTTTCCCTTTCCTTTTTTTCTTTTTTCTTTTTTGTTCTAATAGAAACCCTTCATTCTTTTGTAAAACCTTTCATCTTTTTAAAATTGTATAGTAAATATGAATTAGAGCATTTTGAACTTGATATTAGATGAGATTCATGTTGTCAAAGTGTTTCAACTTTCTCAAAGTTATATCAATTAATGTAAAAGATAGAAAAATCAATTGTATATCCTCTCTTGAATCATTTGGTTTGACTTATCTTAACTTACATATGAAATATGAATTCTTTTTTGATTTTTTTTCTTTTTCTTTTATTGAAACCCTTCATTCTTTTTTAAAACCCTTCTTCTTTTTAAAATTACATAAAAAAATATGAATTAGACCACTTTGAACTATTTTACCTTTCCTTTTTTTCCTTTTTTTTATAAAAACCCTTTATTTTTTTTAAAACCCTTCATTTTTTTAAACCCTTCACCTTCCTTTTTCTTTTCTTTTTTCCTTTCTTTTTTATTCTTTTTTTTTGTCTGATAGAAACCCTTCATTCTTTTTTAAAACCCTTCATCTTTTTAAAATTACATATGAATTATGAATTGGAGCATTTTGAACTATTTTTTTTCCTATTTTTCCTTTTTCTTTTTTGGTTAAAAACCCTTCATTCTTTTTTAAACTCCTCATCTTTCCTTTTTTTTCTTTTTTCTTTTTTTTTTCTAATAGAAACCCCTCATTCTTTTTCAAAACCCTCCATCTTTTTAAAATTGCATATGAAATATGAATTCCTTGTTTTTTCATTTTCTTTCGTTTTTTCTCATAAAACCCTTCATTCTATTTTAAAACCCTTCCATCTTTTTAAAATTGCATATGAAATATGAATTGGAGTGTTTTGAACTTGATATTAGGTAAGATCCATGTTTGCAAGGTGTTTTTAACTTTTCGAGAGCTATGCTAGTTAATATAAAAGACAAAAAAATCATTTGTATATCCTCTCCTAGATGATTTGGTTTGACTTATTTTAATTTTTACAATTTCTACAACAATTATAAAACGTGCATTTTCAATCATGAAAATTGTAAAGATGAAGTTGCGCCATAAGATGGAAGATGATTTTCTTGTTATTATGGGTGAACAAAACCAAACCAAACCAATTATCCATCCAAACTAAATGTAATTTTGGTAAAACGATTCAGTCTAATTGATTCATTAGATTAATTGACTTAAAATGTTTGGTTCAATTAATTTTTTGATTAGTTCTTGATTTTAAAATTTTTAGACCAATCCACCTAAAAAAGCAAACTAATTTTTTACATTATATATACTAATATATAATATTTTTATATATATTAAGAAAAAATTATAGTAAACTTAATTAATAATATACTTAAAATATATTAATTTATTATATGTACTTATACAAATCATAATCATAGTAATTTAATTTTAGTTATATATATTTATTTATTTATAAATCTATATTAATATGAAATTACCAGTTATATATTGTAAATGATAACTTATATGTTAATATTATAATATATGATAGTAAATATGTTACATATTAATATGTTATAATTATTACATGTAAGTAATGTTTTGTTTTTAATAGATGGTGAGACCAACTACAAATACATTTCATATATATATATATA